TTCCATGGCGTACCCGACGCCAGATGGCGATCGCACATCGCCCTCACACCCTAGTGACAGTCGTTCTCTCCGGGCAACTAACAGTAATTATCATTCCATGTACCCGACCCCTGACCAATAGCCACAACCGAACTCAATTTCCTCCCCTTCGCCCCTCCCCCAGCACAAGCACTTCTACAGGGCTATCTCGCCATGCGGGCGGCGGGAAAACGATAAGTAGTAATCAGTGTACACTTATTAACCTTGTTTATCTCTACAATTTTCACTATTCCTACAAATGTGCTGTCCTGGTAAAGGGTTGATGAAAACATATGTTTGCCATATCGACTTTTCAACTTAAACATGGGAATATTTGGAAAACTTTCCTTTTTTATTTTCGTCAGCAAATACTGTTTTTCTAATAAATCCAGACGAAATACTTTGGTAAGGCCAGGCCAGGGCAGGTTGGTTTCAAAGTGTAAGGCCTCCGGTGGTGATCCTGGACAGGAAAGAAAACTGTAAGCTTCGACGTAGGTGCACGTTCAAGGGTAGCGAAATAAGGGAAAACTTTAGAATGCTTGGTTTGTGAGTAATCGGCATCTGTTATAGGAGGGAGGTAAGCGACTTGTTCTAAATCGACCGATCATATTATACCGCAGGAAGCGACGCAGGCCGCACGTTGTGAGGAGCCTTGAGAATCCAGTGGCGCATCAGACCACGTCAACCAATCAAAATCTGAGCCCTTGGTCGCACAGTTCTTTGGGCATAGTATAAATAGACAGTATTACCATCAACTCAGCAGAGCCAGCATCAAGACGAAGGCTAAGATCTGCCTCTCCCTTCTTACGGCCATCGTCTTGCGTACCTGCATGGATGCCGCTGAGGACACCGCCGACAGTCCTACCACAAAAACCCACGAGCCAGTGGATGGCGCCACCGATTCGGATGGGGATTTGGACGGCGCGAATTGGGTGCAGACAGGCTGCAAGAGTCTTCGTGGCGCTTCATGGAACAAGAAAATGGGGACGGAAATGACGAGGATCTGCAGGGTGCGGTTTTGGGACAGATGGGCTACAAGAAATGGTCAGAATGAGTGGAGACGACTAGGCATAACATCAGAAATAGCGTTTGTATTAGTTCTAATTTGCCCCTCGACAAGCACACACCAGAGATGAAGAACAGTGAAACACTGATTGGGTTCCGAGTTGCCATGTGGATCGAAATACAGACACCCTCTGTGTACGGAATATTGTAATATATGCAATTCGTCGTCATTGCCTATTTAAATTAAGCTCAACACTGCAGCTTTAGTACATGCGAAATCTAGGATTGAAATAATGGTACATGCGTCACCTACTTTTCCCAAGGCTACAATGTGAAAGTACTTTTCCCCGTAACTGTACAGACGTAAGTCCTATCTCTACCATTGCAGTCAATAAACTACGCGCGGGATGGCTACTCTTCTGTGTTCGCCTTCATTTTGGGTCATAAATAATCCTGCACGTAAAACGCGTTACGCTGACAAAGGGATGGGACAGCATGCACGATGATCAGTTCACGCCTGTGCCCCTCCCCCCTCATGCATAGGAACTGGTTAATGTGCCCGTATTTTCACGCGTACACCCGTGTTCTCAGAAAAAGGGGAGAACACGTGACCTATCCTGCATCACCACCAAACATGTTGTAAGTAATTTTCCAGACCCTAAACTGAAATATAGAGCAATTCGTAAACCGTAGAAAAAGCAATAATGCAGTGGCGTACGCCGCTGCAGTGTGTCTCCCTTTATTCAGATCGGTTCGCGTTTCGCCAATTTCTGTTTGAGGTTTTTTTTGTACGAACAGTCCAACTCGACATGTCTGTTGATGCATAGTGTGTCCGAGGGCATCGCTTCGAGGAATTCACGTCCTATCTTGGAAGGACAGGTAGCGGCAGTACGAGTTTTGTACCATACGAACTTATGTTCGGTGTCTGGGCCATGCATGGCGACTTCGGAATAACGATTAAGTCTGTTTACCACCACTTGGTGTTCATGAATGGGCACACTTGTGGGTCTTTCGGCCTGGCCACAATAAACAACATCACATGATCCATATGGGATTTTGTATACAACTCCTTTCCTGTGTAAATAGTTCACCTTATACTTAGGATGTAGCAAATAGATGCGTCATGTCGCTATTGGTTTATGAACCACCCGGATGTAATGATTCCTCAAATGGCTGTCAAGAAGTTCAGACTAAGCGAGCTATATGAAGTCTGACTGCTATAACGTAATTTTTTTTCTTTGACGATTTTTGTCTCACACAGTTATGTATACATTCTCGTGAATAACCGTTTTGGTCAAATGAAGTTCGTTAAAAACCGGGATCTTGAAGAGGAGAAAACAAAGTATGGTCTTATATTCGTAAAACAGACCATCCCCTAGTCAACCCTTAAACACCAATAACAAGATTTTATATAAGTGTAGAGCCCACTCACAATACCATTCTGTTGCAAAACTGGCGTTCACTTTTGAGTCTTATTAGCAGAAAGTGAAATAGGGCACGTATAAACAAAGATCACTTAACAAGGGCTTATATTGATAGTCTAATCAAGGCTCACAGAAATAGAAAAATATCATGTCAACCATACCGGACTAAGGTTTCGCCACTTTTGCGAAATTTACAATGTTCCTACACTCCGACAGGGTCTAATACTGAATAAAAGCCATTGAGGGGCTGTTGACGACCATCCTAATATAAGTCCACAAGGAAGTTTCAGCGTGTAAAAAAATATTTAACGGCTGATACGTGTAGGCACGACAATACCGCAATATATCACATAAATTCAGCCTGCATTTGCATAAAAAACTGCTTTAAAATAAACCTTTTAGCAACATAAGCTTATATAGGCCCACTTATTAATCCCTACTCTCTGCATGCTTTCCTACGAAAACGTCCGTCGTAGGGTGTTATGGATGAGGAATTAGGACACGCAGTGCAATATACTTTGACAAGCGCTAAATGTATTTTTACTGTACAATATTTAGAAGTGCTGTTGACTTATATCTGTAGATTTTTATAATTTGTATTATCATTGAGCTTATTGCGAATAAACCCAATAATAAAATTGCAGGTTTCGTGAATAATCGAAAAATTTAAGTGTTGGTTCGGTGTTCTGTAGTGCAAACTACCTGAGGTCTAACTTATAGTTCTGGAGTTACATAACTATAGTCGGCAGCGCGATGCGCCGCGCATACCTTTAGTTTACATGCACAACAACTTACTCCCAGCGGCCGCGGCCAACAAATTCGACTACTCTTATTTTCCTTTACACTTACTTCTAAAAATTTCCTTCTCTGCCTATGCTATTTACTAACTGCCCACCGTTCTTTCACGATAAAATATTGTGACTAGGGGTATATGAGTGGTAATACGTAAGCTACTTTTGCCCAAGTTTTTTTGGCGAAAGGTTTCTTTAAACTATACATCCGCATGCACTGTTTGCATTGAATAAGTCATTTTCATCTTTGTACATTCATACCGTTATTAAAGTAGTAAAACATACATGTTGGTTGAAGTGGATACATAATTTGGATCAGTTTTCTAATCGTCTGAGAGTATCATTTGCTTAGAAAAAGCCGTTGCGACCGCATTGTACAAGAAATGTGTTAGCCTGAGGTTAGTGAACTGGCCGTGGTCTTAGGTAACGTGTTGAACAGGTCATTCGCTGAGCAACAAGTTGCATTGGTCAAACGGAGCCTCAGAGCTGAATATGGATTGGACATTTCGTACGTCTTCTTAACCAAAACCCAAATAACTCGCAACTCAATTCATTTTCACACCCGCTCTCATCAAATTTAAACGCCTGGCCTAGTCTCATTAAAATAACCCCTCTTATGTGGACCTAAAGACAGATTCCAGAGTGTACGAAATATTATACTCTATGCAATACCGTTTCATTGCCTATTTAAATTCACGCTAACTCTGCAGCTTCAGCACTCGCAACATCTATGCTATCTCCTCTTGAATTGAAAATAAATTGAGCGATAATTAATCTGTGCAAGTTCATGAGTACCAACACGAAGTTGGTTGTACAGCTCGCACTAAGGGGACACAGGTGTGTGGGTAAGGCCATGGTCGCCTAGTTTTATTCCAAGTCCAATCACTGTCACTGATAACATTTGCCCTTAAAAAGGACAAATTGACGATATCCGCTGGTACCAAGCAGATGGCTCTCGGTGTAGCCATTATGCCCTATCCTGCGAGCGAGGGAAGACACGGCTGCCTGCACGCAGTTCCCTACGCCAGCAACAAACTATTCCGATTTCTCAACATGCGTCACTTACTTTTCCCAAGGCTGCAATTTGAAAGTACTTTTCCTCAAACTGGACCGGCGTGAGTCGTATTTCTACCACTACAGTCAATAAACTAAGCGTGAGGTGGCTCCTCTTCTGCGTTCTCCTTCACTTTGGGTCATAAATAATCCTGCACGCAAAACGCCCACGCTGGCAAATGAATGGGACTGCATGCAAGACGAGCAGTTCATGCTGGTGCTCCTCCACCTCCTCACGCATAGGAGCTGGTTAATGCGTACGTATTCTCACGCGTACACCCGTGTTCTCAGATAAAAGTGCCAAGGCAACAGTAGCTTATGTAGCTCCAATCATTCATCCCAACAACCTGCATGTTTTCCAAAGAAAACGGTCTTTATCGGGTTAACTGGGCGGAAAATTAGGACACGCTGTGTAATATACTCTAATCAATGCTAAATGCATTTTCATTTTACTGTATTTAGAAGTGTTGTTGATTTATA